ACTAGCATGTAGGTGTGAAACCGGGATCCAAACTGATGTCGAATCTCCCCACGCCAGAAAGGTAAAGCTTTTTCGTATTTTTTGTGGTTGTTGAACGGTTTCCTCGGGAATGGGAAAGCTGACCTATGCAGGAAGCCAAAGGGTCTTCCCCGAACGTGGAAACCCGATCCCACCATTATGGATTCTGATTCACCGTTCGGAAAGCTAAAAAATCTTTCTCGAAAAATAAAAATCTGATTTGTCATCCAGGAAGCTGAAAAGTTTTTCTCGAAAAATGAAGATTCGATTTGCCGAACGGGGAGCCGAAAGGTTTTTCGGGTATAGATCCCGATAGATTCGGGTATTGCGTTGGAAGGTCATTGGAACCCGTGATTTGATTAAATTAATTTTTAGTATTTCGAAGTATTTTAATTAATTATGTTGTGTTTACAGGAAAATTTGGACATTCAAGCATATTCGAAAAGATGCGTAGAAGAGTAGGTATTTCTAAATCTCAACCGGGTTTGAATTTTAAAAAGTGCATTCATTTCATTAAATTATAAATTTTAAAATTTGAACGGACATTGTGTAATACCCTTAATTAATTTTAATGTAATTAAAATTAATGTATAAATATAATTTTTTAGATTTTAAATTTTTATTCAATGTAAAAATGAAGAAAATTAATTGGAGGATGAAATTAAACACAATTTTGGAAAAAAAGATGTGAAAATTTAGATTCTGCGGGTGTTTTTGAAAGAAAAATCAGAAACTGGACATCAAAATATAATTTAGAAAAATTGTGCCACGTATGACGCTCAGTCAGTAGCCCCAACGAACCAGAGTGCACCACGTGGCAAGGAACGCTGACGCGGTGCAATGCGGGAGGCTACGCTGGCGATCCGCGTACCCGCGATCAGACAGCCCAGATTTGTTCCCACATGCACGAACGGTCTAGATCCATTCTCTCCTCAGACGTGATCAGACGATCACGATTAAACACTATGAACGGTCCAAATTCACTTCCTATTTAAACGCGATCGGACGATTCAGATCAAATCGTGATGAACGGTCTAGATTCACTTCCTATTTAAACACGATCGGACGGTTCAGATCAAATGCGATGGACGATCCAGATTAAAAAGAGACGGATATAAATAACTTTTTTCACACCAAACCCTAATCCCCGCCCCCCCACCAGAGAAAAAAGCCAGTTGCCGGAAAGGGACTCGACCACCGCCTACCATCGTGTCGGAGCTGCCTCTGACCGTCAAAAGAGGTAAAAAAAATTTCGTTCGCTCGAAATTTAATTTTAAACACCCTTATAGTCAAATCAGAGCAAAAGGACCGATGGATGAGCCAAAAACTGCAGATAAAGCCCGACAGTGCCACCGCAGGAAAAAGCAAAAATTTCCTCTGATGAGGCCCTTTACGATTCCTATTTCATGTAATTTTTTCATTATTGTAATCACTGTTCCTTTTTCTACAGGTTGACCGAAGCAAAACACCTAACTACGAAGGTGAGCCGACGGAGCCGCCGCATCGGAGAACCCCGCTGCCGGTAAGCTTCAATTTTTTGATTTTTTTGGGCCAACCGATGCCCCTTAATATGTTTTCTTACAGGGATTGGTACAAAATTGGCTGAAACCGACCAAAAATGGCCGAAAATAGCCAACCCAAGGCAAACCGCCGCCGTGGGCGGCGGTGGCATCGCCGTGCCAGAACTTTAAAATTGGACAAAAAGGGTTTCTAACACTGATTTTAGATTTTTGGGGGTATTTCTAGGTACTTGAAGAGCATTTTAATCCCTAAAGAAAAATTTAGAAAACCTGAGGACTGCTAGTAGGCGCAGTCAAAAACTTAGCATTCGGACACCAATTTGAGTAAGAATCCTTCACCTTATTCCCTGTTATGGAAT